GCTTCCTCCTCTCGCCGGTGTTCAGTGTCACTTCAGGCGTCACGAGGAGCCTGTGTCGAGCTAAGCGCCATTCGGGAATCTTGGAGCCGTCTTGCTGTGTGGCTGAGAGCTGAGGGAAATGGAGCAGAGATGGTGAGGGTGGTGGTGAAGTATGGTGTAATGATAATGATGATAAAAAAAGTTAAATAATGATATAATGAATTATATGTATGCCATTCTAGATAATACAGAATGTGTAATTAATGATGATAATAACAATAATAATGATAATGATTAAAATAATAATAATGATAATAGTAATGATTGTTATTGTTATTATTATTATTACTAATATCATTAGCATTATCACTGTAATTATAAATAAGATAATAATAGCAATGATAAATAGTAAAAACATTATTCAATCTGTTTATGTTGAAGGAATATGTAATCTGCATAATCACTTTACAGATGATTATCGCTCTTTTTCTAATCTCTTTTTCCATTTTTTTTCATAATTAATTCATTTCGTTATATCCTTCTTAATTAACTGGATAAACATTGACATTAATATCCTTCACTGCTTCGTCTCAAGAAAGCATTAATTCACTAATATTCTCTTCTTCAGACATAATAAGAAAACACAGAGAGATCGAAGCTTTTTATAGAATGAATGTGATGACAAATTAATATCTAAATGACCCGCTTCACAGATTAATCATTCTAAATGACCAGATCAATTATTCTGAGATGGAAGTGTCATGTTCTTGCCTGAGAGATTTTATCGTGAAACTGGATTTTCTTTTTCGATGGATATGACTGAATGTTTGTTGTTGTTATTGTTTGATCGTTCACCACACACACAACACACACACATACATACACACACACACACCACACACACACACACACACACACACACACACAACACACACACACACACACACACACACACACACAAACACAAACACACACACATACACACACACACACACACACACACACACACACACACACACACACACACACACACACACACACACACACACACACACACACACACACACACACACAACACACACACACCACACACACACACACACACACACACACACACACACACACACACACACACACACACACACACACACACACACACCACACATATATATATATATATATATATATATATATATATATATATATATATATATATATACAAAGCACCATATAAATGATATTCTCACATGACACGCACACACATGACCCCCTCAAAGACTCACGTAAAACTTGAAGGGCATCGCCGGCCGGAAGACCTGCGGCGAGTCTCCCAGGAACTCGAGGTTGATGGACGCGCTGAAGATCCTGGTGGAGGAGAAGCCACTCTGCGCCACGTCCCAGTAGGCGTCCCCCACCGTCGCCGTCACGCGCACCTCCGTCCCCTCCGTCTGCGCCACCAGGTCCTCGAAGTCGGACATGCGGAACTTGAAGGGGAACACGCCTGCGAACTGTTGGTGGTGGGGGGGTGGGGTGGCGGTGGAAGGGTTGGTGGGGGGTGAGGGGGATGGGGAGGGTTGGTGTGGGGTTGGGGATGGGGAGAGGGGTTGGTGTGGGGTTTGGTGAGGGATAGGAGATGATGGTGGGTTGGTGGGGGATAGGAAATGGTGGGTGGATTGGTGTTGGGTTGGTGGGGAATAGAGAGATGGTGGGTGGGTTAGTATGGGGTTGGAGGGGGATAGGGAGATGGTAGGTGGGTTGGTATGGCGGTGATTTAGTGGGTTGAAGGGGTTGGATAGGAGAGGGAAGGGTTGATTGGTTTAACAGGGAAGGGGTTAGGGATTTTCCGAAAGAGGTGGCAGTCGAGAGGGAAGAGAAGGTGAGGATTTCAAATGAGGGAAGTGGACAAGTAAAGAGAATGAAGGAATGGGGAAGAGGTGAATAAAAGGGAGTACACGTAGGTAGAGGATACGAATGTGAGATAAAGAAGGGATTTTGTCGAGGAGAGGAATAAAGAAAGAGAGAGAGAAAAAAAGATTAATTACAAGGCAAATATCTCCTACAATTCATTAATACTTTATTATTTTATGGCTAACATTTTATCCACAAATTCAAAATAAATGAAAGAAATTAATATTAAAAAGCCAAAAATAAAGACAAAATATGAGCAATGCAAGCAAATAAAACGATAATAATCAACTTTATATCTATCTATCTAAATCTCTAGTCATATTGAGCATCTAAACAAAAAATCCTAAATCTACTTAAGAAAATCGAATAATTATCATAAACAAGAAGCTTTTTATATATGTAAAAAAAATATACATATGCAAGTGGAAAGCGAGATGAAGAATTTTCTTTATAAATAAGATGCAGAATAATTTATTTAAGAGAGAGAAAAAACATAGGGATTCGGGGCAATACAGGTGTACACAGACACGTGTCTCTCGAGCATAAGGAGGTTCTTAAGGGCGATCCTCTCAGGCTTGCAAAGGATCAACTAGTCCTTATTAACACCATCACCAGGTAGGTCATTTCACTTGAGGGTAATTCATTCACTTAAGAATATAAAAGGAACAGTTCAGAATTTAAGGAGTTTTTAAGGGTATTCAAAGGGTAACTACAGTAATGGAGGATTGCGTTTCTAAAGGCTGATTCTTTTCTTTTCTTAGGCCTATTTTGTGCGTGTGGGGGGGGGGAGTAACTTGCTTCTGCGTATATGTACGTGAGCTTGCGAGATAGATAGATAGAGAGAGAGAGAGAGAGAGAGAGAGAGAGAGAGAGAGAGAGAGAGAGAGAGAGAGAGAGAGAGAGAGAGAGAGAGAGAGAGAGAGAGAGAGAGAAGAGAGAGAGAAGAGAGAGAGAGAGAGAGAGAGAGAGGAAGAGAGAGAAATAGGGAGTGAGAGAGGGAGAGAGCGAGGGAGAAGAGGAGGAGGAGAGAGAGAGAGAGAGAGAGAGAGAGAGAGAGAGAGAGGAGAGAGAGAGAGAGAGAGAGAGAGAGAGAGAGAGAGAGAGAGAGAGAAGAGAGAGAGAGAGAGAGAAGGAAAGGGAGAGAGAGAGAGAGAGAAGGGAGAGAGAGAGAGAGAGAAGAAGAAGAGAGAGAGAGAGATTGAGGGAGAGAGGGAGAGAAACAAAGACAAAGAGCGAAAAAAGGGAACAAGATATATTCTAAAGAAATTGAGAAATAAAAAAGCCTATGCATCTACTTATATTAATAATTTGTGCTGCAGTGGTGAGCGGTGCGAGAGAGGGTGGGGGGAGAGGGGAGTGAAGGGGGTGGGGGTCTAACTGGAGCGGAACCTTGTGTATTAACTCCTGCCGGCGCCAACGAGGCAGTTTAAGATAATTTGGTAATGCAACATAGCAATTTCGCATAGATATTAAAGAAGAGAAGCGGAACAAAATGAAACAAGCAAATTATGGGAACAAGCATCATAATTTTTCTTTTTAAATTCAGATAAAGAATATTGAGAAAATGCAAATAACCTTCTCAAAACATTTATATATATATACGTTTCCTCTGTCTTCAATCAGTTAAGTAAATCTCAAATATTAAAGGAAAAATACTAATCAGTGTCTCATTATTTCCCCTATTACAAACGTCTATCTTGTAACACATCATAGATCTGTATTGAATATGCAATTATAGAGACATACAATATATACACAAAACTACACATAAATTGTAAATTGTCCTATCCACCCTCCTCTGTTTTCCTACGAGTTTAGTAATTATAAAGGAGGTTCCCCTTGGCCCTGAGGGAACATCAAAAGAACAGAACGAGTGAACAACGATAATGAGGGAATTACCTACAGGAGAACAATCGAAAACACATAAACGAGGAGGGATAACTATTAAAAACATTATATATTTTAAATCTTTTCTTTTCATGGATAATGTGTCTTTCTTTTATCACTATGCCTTCTGGTTATCGAGTCAAATGTGATGTACAGTGTAAGAAAAGAAAGACTTTTTAAGAACTGCAACATTTTACTCAATAACAAGATGAATAACGTCAATATTCATGACAAACGAGCAAACACACGACTCTTTTCCCTGTTAAAACCTTCCTAACACTAACATCCCCCCATCCGACCATAGAGTAAGCAGGAAAAGGCAGGTAAAGGATGAACCAGCACGTTATCAGCTGTACATGGCCACTATCTCTGCCATCCTTTGTGGGAAAAATCTTTTACAAGCAGCCAGAACGATACAACTGCGTCCTTCTGATCCCATTCTCGCCCTCAAAGCGGCGTAATTTGCTTTGAGGTGTTTGCTTAATGTTTCTCTCACTAAATCATATCGTTAGAGTATGTATATGTATATATATATATATATATACATATATATATATATATATATATATATATATATATATATATATATATATATATATATATATATATATATATATATATATATATATATATATATATATATACATACACATTTATCCTATATTCCTTTGTAAGCTGATTTCGAAAAGATACGACTGGGGCGGAAAGTCAAAGCATAATAGGTATGTTATTGGGTTAATTAATGCTGCAGATTAATTCATTCATCATTATTATGAAGTCGACTTAAAAAAAAAAGAAAAAAACATTCCGAGTTGGTGAACGGGGAATGAGGAAGCGTCATGTAATTGGAGTGTTATTCGTGAAATCACTTAACCAAAAAGGGGAAAAAAAAAACTTCCGACAGAGAACCAGCACCGGATATCAGACAAACAAACGCACAAACACACAAACCACAAACCCCTTTTCGAAGTAGAAAGAGACACAACCAGATACAACACTGGGATTGATGTCCTTCGTGCTGACACAGTGGGTTGATGACACGATTCTTGTCTTTTATTTTTCTCCTTCATGCACTAAAGTCAGGGTCATGCACTCCACGTACCGGGCCGCTTAGCCTTGGACATCATGGACCAAATCACGGGAAAAGGGAGGGGAAAGGGGGGGGGGGATTGCGTGAGGGGTGACTTCGAAAGGGTTTGGTGAGGGGTTGTGGTCGTGTGGCAGCT